GGTCTATAATTATTCGTGGAATGACGATCGCCCTTCTTGAAAATAGAACTCACATTAGCCATTTTCAAATCGCTGGGGATCTTTTGCTCATCCAGGAATTTACAGAACAGGAGCTTCCGAGGCTCGGCAAGCTCGGTGCACAATTCTCTTAACACTCTGAGATGCATCATGTCAGGGCCGAGGCTCTAATGAACCATTAGCTTTGACAATTTATTCCTTATAACCTCTTCTGAGAGCACAGTGTTGTCAGCACCGTGTCAACCGTCTGTCCTCAAACGCAAGAAGATTGTTCGCATCCTCTCTTGTGAACACCGAGGAAAAGAAACTGTTCAACGCCTCTGCCTTGTCCAGGTCAGAATCTACATAACTACCATCTTCAAGCCTCAGGTCCAATACACCTACAGTACTCGCATTTTTAATTTCGATTTTGCGTAGCGGTAAAACACCTTTGAGTTTGACTTGACCTCACTCACAATCCATCTCTGGAACTCTTTTTCAGCCCCTTTACACTCGACTTTGCTTGGTTCCTGGATCTGGCACACATCCTCCTGTCCTGCTCGCCATTTGTCCTAACTCACGTCTCGAATTTCTGAGTATTCTTTTTAACTTTGTCAACCGCCGCCTGGTTCATGTAGCGGTCTCCTTGTGTTCCTGGAGGCACTCAGTTTGGTCTACCTTTGACATAATGACCTTGACCTTTGAAGTAATGACACTAAGACATGCACACTCTTAGACATTAAGAATGACCCACACACACACACACGCACACACACGCACACACATGGAGACAGACATTTAGTTATTCTTCGAGACACAGACAGCTAAAAAACAATAGTTCTTCTAGCAGGTTCTTAAGTTAAACCCTTCAATTTGTAAATGGATAATAAACATATATGCACTTTATTAAGCAACTGATGACATCATATTCATATATTTCAGGTCAATGAAGTTAAAAAAATACACACGGGTAACGAGATTGTAAACAGCTTGTCATACAAAGGCACATGGAGGATAGCTATCAAACATCAACGTACCATTACCTCCCTTGAAAGCTTTCTTTTTCAGTATGGGAGAATGAAAAAGATAATAAAATTAATAGGAAACAGTAGAATGGACGAGTTGACGGTTGTAATTTTTTTGTAAGATGGCAGGTCAATGGGTAAAGAAAACGCTTAAATTCACTATGGCAATGATATTTTAAAATAAATTAGGCCATAAAGTGACAAAAATAGGGGTTAAAGTTGCTAAAAAGTCACGTGACTGCAAAAAGCTGTGATTGGTTGTGACGTCACTGGCTGGGGCGAGCCGCAGAGTGGGAGGCAGCCAGCTGTACTGTAGTTGTCCAACCTTCTCGGCTGATCGGCTTTGTAAATGAATATTATTAGATGATTAATTGTGCTTTACTGTGCAACACAGTAATACTATTTTAAATATATAACTATTACTAAGCACATAAACTAATTCAATGGATATTAGCTGCCCATACAACAAAATTCATAGTATAAACATTCCAAACAATATTGGTATTATTTTGGTTTGGGTCATCTGGGGAACCTTAAGATTCTAACCATGGGATTAAGTACTTTAAACCATAAGACAAATTATCTCTACAGGATTTCTGTCGCAAAACATTTTTCAATCACATAAGAAAATACAGACCATAGGTTAGGTTAGGTTAGGGTATGATGAGTTATAAGGGTAGCTTAACATACATCGGTAAGGGGGGGGGTGGTAGTAACTCAAAACTAGTGATTTCCGATAGAAATGAAGGTCTAAATCGTTCATAACACATCGCAAACCATCAGAAAAAACATAGTCTGCATGTCTAAGTACAGGGATGGCCAAAACTTAAAATTTACCCAATATACTGTAGCCTACCTCGAATCTAAACATTCAAATACTCATGGTAGTTAAAGTAAAATTTTACCCATTAATTAATATAAATGATGATATATCCCAGTGGTTCATTAGTGAATCACCAAAACAATAACATCACTATGTTGTCATGTTAAGCTAGCATCAGGCATTCTCAAAACAAAGTCCAGACAATGTCATTACTTCTAAATTTACTCGTATCTCCATCTAGTATTGATATATTCTCTAAATGCACTGAAAAAAGAGAGAAAGTCTACCAGGTAAGAGTACATGACAGCTGAGCTGGTGTGAACGTAGGCGTTTTTTATGTCCAAAAGAACACAAGAATGGAGGAAACTGCAGCGAGCCTATTGGCCCATACTGAACAGTCCCATTTACACCCAACCCCGACGTGGCATTTGGGCTCTGAAGAGGCCACTCTTTCTACTACCTCCGACTGCAGCGATGAGTTTGTAGTGGATACCTCCCCTACAAACGCTGTTTGTCGCTGAGTAGCCGACCCCGCGAATTCCCCAGTGTATGCCTCGTGGTATAGGTCAACCAGCGCCGCCTTACATGACGGAGGTCAACTACTAAGCCACGCCTACCTCCGCTATATAAGACCTGACCTCGTGGTGACCTATCTCTCTCTTTCGACCTACACCAACCAGCAAGCAACACCTCCTCCTCCTCCGCCTGCCTGGCGGTCCTCGCTCCCGCCGGCGAGCATGGCGACCCACAAGCTGGTCCTCCTCTGAGCACCCTCACCAACCTGCTCTCTCTACTCAACGCTTGTAACCATGCTGCCTTCCCAGCACCAAGCTGCATTGTACATCCAATACAACATGTATACAGAGAGCACATTGTGAGTTTCCTTTCTCCATCCCATACTGAGTGAGAACCAAATAACCCATACCCCACAAATGGTGACCCCGGAGATCCGCACTCACACAGGATGGAGGAGAAACCGATCACTCTCCCAGTCTTCAAGCAACATGGAAGACTGGCTTATCCACACAGAGACAGCTCTCATCGGTTCTACAGCTACTGTCTCTACACCGCAGATTAGACACCCTAGAGCAGTGGTTCTCAACCTTGTTTGCCCCATGCACCCCTTTCACCATATGTCAGAATGTCATTCCCCCCTCCTTTCCAAGATTGTCTGCCTCAAAAAGTGCATTCCAAATAATATGCATATAATACTGAAAATCCTTTATTTTTTTCCATATTAGTATCAGTTTCCTCCCCTGAAAACCTGAGGGGGGAAATTCCCCCCTGGTTGAAAACCCCTGCCCTAGAGCAGCTCTGCTACTCTAAGCAGACAGCCGCTTCTCTTCCTGCCCCAAGCACCACGTCCTACCGACCCCAGCACACCCGTCCTACCAGACGCCGCCCCCGGCCCAGCAGCAGCCCCTGCTCCCGACGCGGCCCATGCGCCTGAGTGCGGACCCACACACCCCTCTTTTCTCCCCCAGGTACTCCCTGCTACTGTCCTGCACCCTGCTGCTGTCGTGGACCCAGCTGCTGTCACGAGCCCTCATCCGCTCCTGCTGACGCAGCCCCTGCTCCTGACCCAGGCCCACACACCCCAGCAGGCGCATCTGAGGACTCTTTACCTGTCGCGAGTGAAGCACAACATTCATCGCCTCCACAACCCTCTTTCTCCCTCTCTTCTCCCACAGATCTTGTGTGTCTAGACAGTTGCCTCCACTACCGGCCGGCTCATCCACGCCCTCGCCGTTATGGCTCACATGTGGCATGCACCGCCCGTTCTGCCTCACATGTGCCATGCAACCCTGCAGACAACAAGTCTCTTACACCGCCTGGGGGGAAGGGGGGGGTACTGTAGTGGATACCTCCCCTACAAACGCTGTTTGTCGCTGAGTAGCCGACCCCTCGAATTACCCAGTGTATGCCTCGTGGTCTAGGTCAACCAGCGCCGACGGAGGTCAACTATTAAGCCACGCCTACCTCCGATATATAAGACCTGACCTCGTGGTGACCTATCTCTCTCTTTCGACCTACACCAACCAACAAGCAACACCTCCTCCTCCTCCGCCTGCCTGGCGGTCCTCGCTCCCGCCGGCGAGCATGGCGACCCACAAGCTGGTCCTCCTCTGAGCACCCTCACCAACCTGCTCTCTCTACTCAACGCTTGTAACCATGCTGCCTTCCCAGCACCAAGCTGCATTGTACATCCAATACAACATGTATACAGAGAGCACATTGTGAGTTTCCTTTCTCCATCCCATCCTGAGTGAGAACCAAATAACCAGTACCCCACAAGCTTGCAGGTAGTGACATCATTGCAAATGGCGGCCCTGTTTCTAGAGAAATAAACTTATCTCGACTATTACAGTAGGACTTTAAACTTTTATTCCATATTATATATACCGTATCACTCTAAGAACGTGACGGAGTGTATTTCCTGTGATTACCGAGAACCGTCAACTCGTCCATTGAGAAGGAATTCAAGGTAGTGTAATGGTGTTTACACTTTCAAAGTGGCACAAACTTTGTGGGATGAGGGTTACCACCAATGTACTGTATTTGTTAAGCCTATTAAAGTATTCATGATACTGTACTTCTTTCCATCACTGGCTGCACATATTTGTTAAGTGACGTCATTGAAGGTTATCTGTTCTAGTTATTGGTTGTTGGTAATATACAGTAGTGTGTGATTGATTTTTTTTTCCATTACTGAATTTTTCTGACTTATACTTCTGATGTTTTGAATTAATACATGCTGACTGTAGTAGGAGGTATGGGAAGAGCACCACTGTACTTTGGGCTTCAGAAATAACTGGGATACTGCAACATTTACTTATCATCAATCATATTAACTTATTTTACACCTAAGGTATCATCCTACATGGACAATTCCCATCTGGATGATCGTTAATTTTATATGATTTTTGCCATTCCACTTAGACGATTATGTTAGATTGAATAGTCTATAAATACAATTTGTCAATTTAGGAAGTCTTAAGTGTCATGTAATTATGCCTAATTCTAACTATTTTCAACACAATGTAATATCACTTGTTGCATCTTCTTTAAATTGTGATCGCTAGTTTCACACATATTTGACTGAACAGTTACATGATATCCATTACAGTATTTATAACTTAATGTATTCCCCACAGGCGGAGGCTCAGAGTAAGGTGGACAAAAAGCGGGATAAGCTGGAACGGAAGGTCCTCGACTCACAGGAACGGGCATTTTGGGATGTGCACAGACCCATGGTTAGTTTTCTTGTATTCTTTCAAGCCTCATCATTCTATAATGGAAGGGGCGGGGGTAGCTGGAGCCTTGAGTGAACACAAACCTTTACTGTTATAACAAATGTTGGATCACATGAAGATTAGCTCCCCAGGTTATTTCACCGGAAGATTAAACACCCTAATGTTACCTGGGGGAGTTACTTTGATATTAGCCATTAGGGTGGTTAATTGTAAGGTGAAATTAACTAAGGGCTAATCTTCATAAGATCCTAGATGTGTTCTGTAACTGTATCTAATTCAACTTCCTTACCATTCCAAACAACCACATGATCACTCAAGGGAGCCATATCATCTTTGGAGGCTTTCAGTTACAACAGGCAACTTCTGAGCATTCCAGAGAACTTTTCTCCATCCCCACCAACTTACAAGGCATTTAATTCGGCCCATTGTTGTTTGTTTGTTTGTTTCATAAATGACATGCTGGAAGCTATACACTTCTCCATACAAATGTTTGTGGTACGGAGGCAAAAGAAAAAACAGCTTTAATAAAGACCGAATGCAAAACTCGGGGCGGATCCAGGAATATCAAGAGGAGGAGTCCAAGAAGTTGCGAGGGTAACATAAAAGTGAGCAATTTTTTTAAAATAAGCTCCCTCAGGTTTTTTTTTTTTTAAATCTGACTAATATCATGGGCATTTTTAGACCATTTCGAAGCCATGTGCACTTGATATTAGGAGATATTCTGAAGTCAATAGTAAATACTTTTTACTATACAAAAATGTCTGAGTACAATACTGCATTGAAGAAAAAGTATTGGAATTTTCTAGTGAAAAGGGGGGTTCGGACCCCCAAGACCCCCCTGGATCAGCCCTTACAAAAGGACCTGGGTGTGTATGTTGACAGTGAACTGAAGTTCTCGGGCTATTGTGAGAAGTTAAATCAAGCAACTAAGCTAGTAGGTCGTTCAGATATCTGAACGACCTTCTTATATGACCTACAAGTTTACTCCCTCGTAACACTCTTCAAGAGTGAGGTGCTTCCCCGCCTTGAGTACTGTCACTCCGACTGGTCCCCAAGATATGCTAGAGACTGTCAGTTGATTGAAAATGTCCAAAGAAGGGCCACCAGATTGATGCCTGCACTTCAACACCTCAGTTATCCACAGAGATTAGAGCACCTGCAACTGCCGAGCTTATACTACAGACGGGCAAGGGGTGACCTAATTGAGGTGTATAAACATCTGAAAGGGCACTACTCAGTTGAGTGTCCATACCTGGAGCTGGTGGATGCCTGCCCCATAAGGGGTCACAGCTCAAGGTTGAAGAAGCCACACGTCCAGAAAACTGTGAAGGCAAACTTTTTCAGAGTGAGAATTGTGAACTCTTGGGGCAACTGCCAGAGAGTGTTGTGACGGCACCGAGTATGAACTCTTTCAAGACCAGACTTGACCAACAGTGAGGCAAGTTCAGATACATTCAGGAGCCAGTGCATGTCAAGTATTTGCCAACAGTGAGCAACAGAGACGTGACCGACCGCCCAAGCGGCTAATGAGCCGATCATTGGCGAAGAGGATAAGGGTAACGTAAAGATCACAATAAGATACTTCAGTTATCTCAAGAATCGCCATTTCTTGCCTCTTTAAAACTAGAATGTATACACCTGTGACATCCAACTTCTCCACCTCCTCATCTTCTATTCCTTAGAAAAATTAAACTCCCTCCTTCCACGTGGTTTCCCTATCTCAGTGAAACCAGATGCTTCACAAGTGAGACGTATACAGGCACCTCTTGACATCCTCAAATTAAATGTTCTTTTCCTCCCCAAAATTGAATGTAGATTACAGTTGTGGTTGCACAATCGTGCATATCATTAATTTCATGTGCAGCTCCCTTGTTTACCTTATCTTCATGAATGCAGTTAGCAGTATAGGATATTTTTCATATGCTTTTATTGTCGTGAACCACTTTTTTTTTTAGTTTATATTTGCATTTATTTTGACAAGATGCTTATTAACTTACATAACCATCACTTCTTAATTACCGTATACAGTACAGTACTTTATCATTATATTCTTACTTCCACAGCCGGGCTGTGTCAACACCACAGAAATTGATATAAAGAAAGCGTGTCGAATGAATAAACCAATCAAGTCAACCAAACACCTTGCCCTTGGTGTAGCTGGAGGTCGAATATCTCCTTCAGTCTCTGAGGCAGACCTCACTAGTCCGGTCGAATCCCTTAAGCACGACATCGACCTTCTCAAAACTAGAGTCGACCGGTGTAACTTCAAAGTGTCTAAAGCAGCAGAGTCGTGAGTTTAAACTATGTATCTTTTTAGTTTTATGTTCATGTAAAGATAGTAAGAGCGCCTGCGTGTACAGTAGGATACATATGAGAAAACCTATTATGGTTAAAAGATTAAAGTTAGACTGGTTAATATTAGAACAGAAACCAGACCCTGAAATGAGTGTTGATATTACTGTGAAGAGGAGACTGGATCTTTTTAGGATAAGGATATGTGGAGGATTCACTTATAAATTTAAGAATATTCTCATAATTTTGGATTGCTGTAATAGAGATGTGTAGTCGTGACTCTTGAGTAAATGTTACTTTTCTTTGTTGGATGGAATTTAATGAGGGTTGAGTTACTGCTTTATTATGTCTATCATTTAAAAAGGTTTGAGATTCCTTTTAATGCTGGGTGTTTTGCATATAGTACTGTGGTTTGTTTTATGTACTGTAGCTCAGCAGTTTGGGGTGTTATTTCCTGGTTCAAGGATTCTGTATAGGAGTTCAGTACCTTTATAGATTTTTTATTTTATTTATTTTTTTATTTTTGGCAAGGTAAGAGAGACCCAGTAGACAGGTATGAGCTTTGATGTCCAGATACTTAAGTATAATTCATATTGGAGTGATGAATGGTAGATACAGTGTTTAATCTAATTCAATAATATGGTAAAAAAAGACCGAAAAACTATATTTGTTAGTGCATCGGTAATGGCTAAAACACATATTTATGTACAGTATATATTGTTATCTATTCTCTTAAACTATTTCTGTGTAGGGTAATTCAGGGTCTGCAGAAGCCTCAACAAGGGGAAAATCGCTTAGGAGACCGATGAAGGACAACAAGTGGCAGCTGGAAGGAAATTCAGTACTCCACACCCACTAATTCATAACTTCAACTTGCAAAAGAGTTTTGGAAATTCTGCATAATAACTTAGAGGAAAATTATTCTTGTTATTAGCTCAGGATATTGAGTGCAATTTTTGTAAAAAAAAAATAATGGCTGTATCTGAATTTTATTTAGTTTATCAGGGTCATCTTCTAGGAATAATGATTTAAAACCATTCTGAGAGTACAGGTATGGGTTAATGCTTATTGTGGTACAGTATACAGTAATTTGACTGTAAGAATTCTTTCCTTATTATATCTTTAGTTTCCAGAAGTGCGGTACCTCATTATTCTCACCTTACAGTTTCTTCCCTTTGATCAGCTGCATTGTTTGTTCATCCCAACATATTTTCTTTGTTCATGTTCCAAAATGGTTGTTCTGTGATGAACTGATAAGTTGATAAACTCTCCACTTAACCTTCATTTTCTGCAATGAAGGTCTCCTATTTGCAGATTCATCAGCTACTGGGAACAGTACCAGGAATATGACCCTTTCATCACACCTACAGATCCACCCAACCCCTGGGTTGCTGATTGCCCAGATTTCTGGGAAGCAGAGAAAATAGCGTAAGTTCTGGCAGTAGATGAGATACTGTAGTGTTTTTGGTCATGATTCCAGCCACCTTGCAATGTAGCATGGAGTCTTACAAGATTGTTATTTTTTTTTTTTTTTTGCAATTACAGGTACCTGTATATAATGTGCAATGCAGGTAACCCTGGTTGGGACTGTGTCACCTAACACCCAAGTGGAGCTTCTTGTAGTTTTCATCATGAGTGAGAAGTTTTAAGATGGTGGTGACTGACTGCACTATATTGTAATTGGCTTCTTGACAAGTAACATCATGACAGCCCTGTAGCAGGAGCACATTGGGATGAAAGTAAATGTACTGTACAGGCATATACAGTATACCCAAGCCTCAATGCATGGTACATTAAGGTCAAAATATATATATGGAGAATTTGTTTTTGCACCCCAGTTTTACTTGAAGAGTAATTTAAAAGTAAAAATTCATATCACCTTTTATCAATTTTTCTGTCATTTTATCCTACCTTGTGACATGGTAGTGATTGTGAGCTTGTGGCCAAAATTGGGCCTACGCCGTACTTTACGGCACTGAAAAATACCTACATATTATGCCAGCTAGTCTGAAAAACATAAGACATATTTACCTACATACTTAACTTGTGGCCACCATAACTACAGGTGGCTGTGATGGAGAAGGAGGCTGATGGCTGATGAATATGAATAATTTCTGGTGGTTTTTCTTTGCTCTTTTCCCTTTCATTGTTAAACATACTATCCACTTTTTCTCCTTTTTACCTCCAGTAAGGAAATCCCGACGAAGCGTGTAAGGCGGTGGGCCTTCAGTGTACAAGAGTTACTCAAAGACCCTCTTGGACGTGAGCAGTTTGTCAAATTCCTGGAGAAGGAGTTCAGTGGAGAAAACCTAATGTGAGTCTTTGTTGCATTGTAAAAGCAGCAGACATTATTATATATGTATCCTCTTTGTGTCCTTTCATCTTGCCTCCAATTTGAACAATAAATTTTTTTTTAACTACCACCATCACCAGGTACTGGGCATGTACTGCACTGGCTCCTGAGTGTACTGTACCGAACATAGGAATGGTGAGAGCACAAGTAATGAACCACTGTTTAAATGATATACTGCCTTACATATTCTGCCTCTTGATTCATGTTTTGATACAGTAATGTGCCCCTCCAAAGAATAACAATCAATCGGAATACTTTCCTCCTGTCTGAGGGTTGGCGACCATAGTCCTCCACTCTAAATGTTCTCGGGCAGTTTTTATCAATCCTTCAAGGTTTTATATCTCTCTGGAGACCCAGTTTTTAATTCAATTTATCCATCCCCATCTCTGCCTTCCCCTGACCCTCCTACCCTCAACTTTGCCCATTAATATTTCTGTTGAAGTTTTTGCTAATCTTAGTACTCAGGGGCGGATCGAGGAATATCAAAAGGGGGTCCAAGAGGTTGTGGGTAGGGGAACATGGCGAGCGCAATGAGCCCGTCCAGGTGGGTGGCGCTGTAAGCTTGTGGGGTTATGAGATATTGGTTCACACTCAGGATGGGATGGAGAAAAGAAACTCACAATGTGCTCTCTGTAACATATTGTATTGGATGTACAATGCAGCTTGGTGTTGGGTAGGCAGCATGGTTACAAGCGTTGAGTAGAGAGAGCTGGTTGGTGAGGGTGCCCAGAGGAGGGCATGCAGCTTGAGGGACGCCAAGGTCGCCGGCGGGAGCGGGAGCCGCCAGGTTAGAGCAGAGGAGGAGGTGTTGCTTGCTGGTGGCCGTAGGTAGAAAGAGAGGGTGGTCACAGCGGGGTGAGGTCTTATAAGGCCGGGGTAGGCCTGGGTTGATAGTTGACCCCCGCTCCATCAGGCGGCGCTGGAGGCGTAGGCTGGGGAATTTGGAAAGGGTCGGCTACTCAGCGACAAACGGCGTTTGTAAGGGAGGAATCTACTACAATACTCCCCTTCCCCTCCGGGCGCGGCGGGAGGCTGGAGGTTGGCAGGGTTGCGTACCACATGTGAGGCAGAACGGGCGGTGCATGCCACATGTGAGACATAACAGCGAGGGCGTGGATGAGCCGGCCGCTGGGGAGGACAGCTCTGTCTAGGTACACGAGATCTGTGGGAGAAAAGAGTGAGAAGGAGGGTTGTGTAGGCGATGAATGTTGTGCTTCCCTCGCGGCAGGTACAGAGTCCTCAGATGCGCCTGCTGGGGTGTGTGGGTCTGGGTCAGGAGCAGGGGCTGCGTCAGGAAGAGGGTCCATGACAGCAGTAGGGTGCATGACAGCAGCAGGGTTCATGACAGCAGCAGGGTGCAGGACAGTAGCAAGGGGTACCTGAGGGAGAAAAGAGGGGTGTGTGGGTCCGCGTCAGGAGCAGGGGCCGCGCCAGGAGGAGCGGCACGGGGTACTGCTGGGCCGGGGGCGGCGTCTGAGGCAGGACGGGTGTGTTGGGGTCGGTAGGACGTGGTGCTTGGGCAGGAAGAGGAGCGGCTGTCTGCTTAGAGTAGCAGAACTGCTCTAGGGTGTCTAACTTGCGGTGTAGAGACAGTAGTTGTAGAGCCGATGAGAGCTGCCTCTGCGTGGATAAGCCAGTCTTCCATGTTGCTTGAAGACTGGGAGAGTGATCAGTTTCTCCTCCATCCTGTGTGAGTGGTCACTCTGGGGTCACCATTTGTAGAGGTTATGAGATATTGGTTCACACTCAGGATGGGATGGAGAAAGGAAACTCATAATGTGCTCTCTGTATACATATTGTATTGGATGTACAATGCAGCTTGATGCTGGGTAGGCAGCATGGTTACAAGCGTTGAGTAGAGAGAGCTGGTTGGTGAGTCAGAGGAGGGCACGAGCTTGAGGGACGCCAAGGTCGCCGGCGGGAGCGGTAGCCGCCAGGCTGGAGCGGAGGAGGAGGTGTTGCTTGCTGGTGGCAGTAGGTAGAAAGAGAGGGTGGTCACAGCGGGGTGAGGTCTTATAAGGCGGGGGTAGGCGTGGGTTGATAGTTGACCCCCGCTCCATCAGGCGGCGCTGGAGGCGTAGGCTGGGGAATTCGGAAAGGGTCGGCTACTCAGCGACAAACGGCGTTTGTAAGGGAGGAATCTACTACTAGCTCTCCAGAATTTTTTTTGAAATCTGACCAATATCATGTGCATTTTGAAGCCATTTTGAAACCATGCGCATTTGGTATTAGAAGATATTCTGAAGTCAATAGTAAATACTTTTTACTACACAAAAATGCCTTAGTACAATACTGCATTAAAAAAAAGTATTGGAATTTTCTGATGAAAAGAGGGGGGGGGGGGGTGGTTCGGACCCCTGGATCCGCCCTTGGTACTTCTTCATTTGTTTACCTCTCAGTGTACCTCTTCTCAGCATTCACCCATAAGCCACATTTCAAAGGCCTCCAACCTCTTTCTGGTGTCTGCTGAAGTTGTCCACGCTTCTGACCCATACAATACTCTTTGCCATATAAAACCTTTTAGCAGCCATTTTCTCAAATTGAAGTTAATGTCCATTTTCATCAAGTCTTTCAGATTATTATACAGTATGCTGTTTTGTTTACCTTATTCTTGTTTTTATTTCTTCCTTACATCTACCATCACAGCTAATGTAACTTCTTACTTCCCAAATACACAAAATTTCCACTTGTTTTAGATCCATGTTGCTTACCATAAATTTATTTTAGGATTTTTTTTCCAATTTGGAAACAAATATTACTTAAGTCTTTAAAGCGTTAACCCTTAAACCACATTTTTCACTTTTTTTTCCACTAAACTGTAATGTAAGGAGTATATACTGTAAATATGATATATTCTTGTGATGTATTATGTTAATGTCTTTCCTTGTAGTGTAGCAGGAAGAGGTGATTTAGTTGTGTAGCTAGGTGCTGTAAATATTTTTCTGCAATGTGTTTTAGGATTCATTTTATCGAACTTTGATCGTGGCTTTCAGGTTAGAAGTGAAAAAATATTGTATTATTTTAAACTGGCTTGCTTGTTACACCCTGATGATGAAAATAAAACCTGGCAAGGAATAACATAATTTTAAAATGTTTGCATCAAGGTTTTCTTTTTAAGGATGGAATTACTGTAATACTAATGTGTTTTGCTTGGTTGATGTCTGAAGCAACATGAATAAATCCAATGTATATCTTAGAATCTAGTTGTGGATGAGGGACACCATAGTAGAACACAACTTGTAAGAGAGCTAAACAGAACAGGTGACTGTTAATGATGGGGACTTTCTTGCTGTCACCTATGTCGTCAGAGCAGTAATGGGCTTGCAAAAGTGAAAGATTAATCAAAATTAAATCACTCATTGCAAATTGAAGGAAACATTCAGTCTGGTTGGTGAACTTTTTTATGAAGAAAATAATCTTTTAAATAATTAAGATTCATTATAAAATTTATCCTGTAAATTGCAGTTCACTTAGTAAACAAATTGCAGCCAGATGTCTTACCTAGATTTTCATTGCATTTCCCTTCATTTCTTTATTTTTTAGAATTAATGTTATATTTCAGGTTCCTTACTGCAGTTCAGGAACTTAAGTGCCTCCCACAAAAGGACGTCCATGATAAGGTCCAAGCTATCTGGGACGAGTACCTTGCCCCAAATGCTCCTGTACCAGTAAACATCGATTCCAAGTCCATGAATATTACAAAGAAAAACATGCAAAACAGAGATCGTTGGACCTTTGATGCAGCAGCTGTGAGTTGTTTTCTTATGCTAAGGGTTTTTTGACATGAATTATTATTATCTTTTTTTTTTAATCTAAGTGCAGGTGAAATTGTTGAAGGTGGGAGGTGTGAGTGTAATAACGAGCCGATCAGTGGTGAAGAGGATAAACGTAATAGGCGCGTGGGTCGGGTCGTGTTGCGTCTCTGTAATAAAGCGTGTTTTATTTTTCTAAGGAGTTGTGGTCACACGTGATGTGATAAAGGCCAACCAGGGAGTGTAATACTGTCCCTATAGTTAAATCAGTTCATAGTGTCATCAGTGACCGTGGAAAAGGTTGTAAATACTGTAACTTCAAGTGAATACAAATTGGCAAGCAACCTGGGAAGGCACCTGTGGGGTACGGGTTGTTTGGTTCTCGACAGGATGGGATGGAGGAAGGAAACTCACAATGTGCTCTCTGTATACTTGTTATATTGTATGTACAATGCAGCTTGGTGCTGGGAAGTGGCAGCGTGGTTACAAGCGTGATGTAGAGAGAGCTGGTTGGTGAGGATGCTCAGAGGAGGACAGCTTGTGGGTCGCCATGCTCGCCGGCGGGAGCGAGGGCCGCCAGGCAGTGGCGGAGGAGGTAGTGTAGCTTGCTGCGGCTGTAGCTAGAAGAAGAGGGTGGTCACCACGAGGTCAGGTCTTAAATAGCGGAGGTAGGCGTGGCTTAGTAGTTGACCTCCGTCATGTAAGGCGGCGCTGGTTGACCTAGACCACGAGGCATACACTGGGGAATTCGCGGGGTCGGCTACTCAGCGACAAACAGCGTTTGTAGGGGAGGAATCCACTACACACCAATGCCAGCAGAAACCAAGTCGTGCTATAGGTGCCACAGAGACTTTAAATTCTATTTTGTTTGTGTGCTTTCTCATGGACTGAAACTGTGCCTACAATACACCATTCATAGGGAGATACAGTGTACACAGTGATAGCACAAAGAGATATAGTCGTTGATGAGAACTGGAAAAGAAAGTATAAGGAAATAATAGTTAAAATAAAAAAAAATCAACAATCTTGGCTATCCTAAAAGGCATTCTATTACGGCCCCAAAGTAAGTTTTCTTTTCTTTTTCTGTGTTTCTAAAGGACTGAGTGGTTGTATAAAATCCGTTATTCATACCAAATGCAGTGTACATAGAGATAGCACATAGATACCGACAAATCGCAGAAGTGAACTGAAAAGAAAACAGAAGACAACTCTAAAGGCAACTGGGGAGGTTAAAACCAGCAGAGGGCAGCTAAGTACTGTTTTTGTTCAATCCAGAATGCGGCATCCAGCTTTATACCTAGGTATGTAAATGCCTAGCATTAACTCGCCACCCCAACATACAGGCAATTAAAACATCTAATAATTACTTAAATACGTAATATTAGGAGGACACGTCGCTACCTGGCATATAATTGCAATTCTCAAAATCCCCTCCCGCACCCTCCATAACATGCATTGCTACCATCATCTTCTTGCCTGGCGAATCAGCTGTAAATACGCTCAAGGAAAGCTCCACTAATTTATGTTGTACTCTTGGCATTCAGGCCAGAGTTAAGTTTTCTCTTCATAGCTCTATTTTATTCATGTCCTCAGTAGAGGGTTCAGCCTTTCCAGGCGAACTTTAGCGAGGCCTTAGTGTTCCTTCCTGACGCTGACCTTCCGGTCTTACTAGCAATCTAGAGTTATGTTGGGATGAACCTAGTATCCTCAGTATGGGTTAAATGAGAACCATTCAGGGTGGAATTCTCAACCCAATACATCTTGCTATTGTAATGGTGAACGATATTAGCTAATGGAGCGCTATGGTAGCAGCTCAGCACTGTCAACCTTTCCGGGTGACCTGATGCTCACTCAGGCATCATCGCTCAAGCATGATTAGTTGAAGCGGTGATGTCTGTGCTTCCTGATTGGCAACAAATAGAGAACTTGGTGATCCCTCAAAATATAAGTGCTCTAAAATGAAGTTAGCTTAATTAAAGTTCATTGAGCTGAGGGATAATTGAGAAAAGAGAAGGGAGAGGTGTATGATATAGCGAGTCACTTAAATAACAATAAGACTCATATTGATTATGTTTGGGAGAAAATGTTATCTCCCTTATATTATTATGATGATACAATGTGACTCATAGTGTTCCTCATAGTTTAAATGAGTGATATGCAACTGGAGGATGAAGGACAGTTGTCTGGACTGCTAGATGACGGAGGAACCATGGAATGGTCCTTGGGAAATTAGTGTTGAGTGAGGAGCTGCAAGGAATGGAGAGCTCAGCTCATACACTACATACAAAGATGTGAATTCAGTAGTAGTAGTTTCACCAATGACCCAAGGGGGCCATACTACATGTAATTATCAAGGATGTAGAGCAACTTGGATTACCAAGTTAGATCCTCATTTGGCTTGCATAATTCATAGCAGCTGTGTCTCAGACAACCTGCTTTCACCATTGGATTGTGCAGTTTGTTATGATCAAATTTTTCATATTAATCAAGCTGCAGAAGATAAGAAGGAATTATCAAAGATCCAAATTAAAAATAGATGGAATAGGGCTTTAAAGAGTAAAATTCTATATGTAAAACACTGGAAACATCCCAAGTTGGCAGAAAGTTTAGAATTGTGGGTGATAGGTAAGAGACTTAATCCCCAGTTAGACCAACCTGCTTCTGCTAAGAAAAGTAGGTTATTGGATATTTAAGGCAAGAACCTCTTCCTAATCAGCCCGATTTTAGTACATTCCAGAATCAGGATGAGGAAGTTGGTATTAATATTGTTCAGTCACTAGAGCAGGGAGAACCTGTTGAGACTGACTTCATCCTGTCCCCATTTTGGCAACCTCTTCCACCTGGGGTAAAAGTGTTGGTTACTATGAGTGGAAACAGGCTGCTGTTGACTGCCCTGCAACTGATGGAGAACATTGAGTATAAGGATGATCCCAACAGGCCTTGGGTAACATTGGTAAGATCTAAGTCTTCTTTGTTTTCAACCACTTCCGAGTGTGGATTCCGTATTCAAGATATTTTATGAAAATATTTCGAAACTTCCTGATCTTTCGGCATTTAAAAAGAGACAGGAAGGCCAAGCAACTGTGGGTCATCATTCATTGTTTATAGAAGGTGATACTACAATTTCTTGGCCTGATATTTGCCCAAAAATGATCACTGAAATAGATTAAGTCAAGGCTAATATATTGAAGACTTAACATTCATTCCCTCAGGTAGGAATGCTCACAAGTTTAGTTTTTTGAAGTTCCAATGCAATGACAAAAAGAGTTCCTTATATGAACTTTCCCAGTATTTGTCGGCTCCAAAATATGCTGACATACTGTAAGCTATGAAGTAAATTTGAAACCAGTTGCTTCTGCACTTTTGCAGAAAGAGTTCAAAGTTAGGAAGTTGGCAGCGGATATTTGGTCTGCAATCATGATGTGTCAGTTATTGACTAAGTTGGTGCTGGACTATGAGGACAGTTCAGAAGTAGACAGATGTTTTGCTGCTGCTATACAAGGGATTCCATAGGCCCTGTACAACTCATTTATGGAAATGTTGTTAAAGCCCTAAAACTAAAAGCCCAGCTAAGGAAGCAAGCCACTAATAATGCTTTAAGTGGTAGTGCATATTTATTGTTACGTTCTTCCCCTCTTTCTCCTGCTTTGTTTGAGGAATAAACATTAGTTAAGTATTGATCAGCTGTTGAGCAAGCTATTCATATTACTGCTCCCAGGAGTCCTAAGACCTTCCGGAAATTTAAAAGAGAAAGGTCTAATAGGGGAACAGGACCAGCTGCTAGGTTCAGTTATCAACCTAGAGGAAACTTTAGAGGAGAAACCAATTCAAGACGTAGTAAGGGTGGCCGTTTGTTGAGAAGTGGAAGGAGACCTTATTCCACCACATCACCGACCACTCCCTCCCAATGAAGCCAGCCAGCTGGGTCGTCTAGGACTCTAGGGGGTTGAGAAAACAGGTGGACTTCTTCCATATGGGTTTACAAGACAATCAAAGGGGGCCTCACATGAACTTGGTACTGTTAAAAAAAAAAAAAGGGGGGGACAGAAACCAACCTCCTTACTCACAAAATTTTTAATTCAATTATAAACAGAGGTGTGATAGAACTGTTGCAGTCAGACAAGTGTTTCATGTCTCGCCTGTTCCCAGTACCCAAGAAAGGCAGCGACAAATTGAGGTGGAATTTACATCTTTCCGTCCTGAACAAGTTCATTAAAAAAAAATAAATAAATAAATAAAAATGATCACTTATGATCAACTGAAACATCTACTTCCGCCCAATGCTTGGATCTCAAAAGTGGATCTCGAAGATGCCTATTATCACGTGCCTGTTGCTCCCAGGTACAGAAAGTTTCTAGTGTTCGCAGTGGGGGATATAAGCTATCAATTAACAGTGATGCCATTCGGCCTAATAATTTCGCCAAATTTTTTTACAAAACTGGCGAACATCCCCAGGGAGATCCTTGCGAAGGAGGGCATAAGAACTTTTGCTTATCTAGACGATTGGCTGATAGTGGGAAACTCTTTCGAAGACTGTCAAGGGGTGACCCAACGTACACTAGTACTAATTCCAAACCTAGGATTAAAGATAAACCAGGTCAAATCAAATCTACCATGTCAGAAATTGAATTGGTCAGGTCTCCATTGGGACACCAATAAGCAGTCAGTCAGTCTACCAAAAGAAAAGGTAACAGATGTGATAAACCAAGTAGAAGCCTTTTGTGTAAAGCAAAAGGTTTCTTGGCACGATTGGGAAAAGCTACTGGGTCTGTTGAATTTTGCCACCATAGTAGTACCTTTGGGAACGTTTAGGAAGAAGCAACTAACTCATCTGGGATCGAAGTTGCTTCACAGAAACAAAAATGTTGCTTCTTCTCTCCCTATTCAGATAAGATTAATCTGTCATGGTGGACAAATTTGGACAATCTAATCGGTTCATCTCCCTGGGTTCCCCCTCAAACAGACTTGGTCGTTTGTATGGAAGCGTTCGAGATAGG